GGGGGCGGGGGGACTTGGGGGGCGCGGGGAGGGTGGGAAGGGGTGGGAAGGGGAAACAAAGGAGGAGGCTACAATACTTGATAAGAAATGTACTCATTATCTTGCCCGTGTAATTGTAACCCCTCTGTACAGTATTTTCATAATAGAAAAAAACAAAAGAAAAATAGCTACTTCTGTGAATGACATACTGTGGGATTGCAATGACCAGGACAGTGATGCAGTACCAGGAGCCTATAGTGGACACCTAAATTCATGGTGAAGTAAATAAGGGTGTGTTTTTATTGCAAATGATCAGCTTGTCAAACTTTTCATTATGTAATTTAACTTTTCCTCCACATGCCTAATTTTCTTAGCTGTGATAGCAGAAGCCAAGCTACGAGATTTAAAGTGTGTTAGGTGATTATTAATGTAAGTGATACTGTTGGTTTAGTATTTTTTTATTACTTAGAAAGATGGGAGATGCCATTCCTGTCCTGCTGAGCATTTGCTGTGAAAATGGTTTGGGTTGAGCATTCCTGTCCCAACCTGAGCCACTTAGCTTCCTCAAAAGTCACATGTGTGACATAGGGTCACCCACTGGTGTGGGTACAGTTTCAGACATTGTTCCTAACTGGCTGCTGACTATAAGCCACAGAGCCCTTGATTGCATATATTGCAGGAGTTAGGGTGGCTGCCACAGGACCATTCTCACAGGGGTTAAATTTCATAGGGTTAGCCAGACGGAAGACAGCAGCAGGCTTGTGGCTCTCAACCAGACCCTCCGTGAAGCCATGTGCTCCCCTTCTATAAAGTCTTCCTGAGTTGAGGATTACACTCTTCACTTTCTTGCACTTAGAGAGAAATCTTTTCTTTTTTCTTGTCTTTTTATCTTTTAAGAATCCTCTTAATAAAATGATCAGTAGTTCTCAATCAAATGTTCTTCAGAATTTGAAAACCCTCTCAGAAGTGTAGTGATTTTTAAATTACTGTATATTAAGATGATGTTCTCATGTGGCTCTGTGCAAGTTAATTTTGTGTCTCAGAAGATGTGTTCCTTAAAATGTGTGAATAAATTGATTTTACATAAATTTAGCCACATTTAACATGCACATAGAGAATTTGTTACTGACTAAAACCCTACTGCTTCATATTGAAGGAGATATTTTTTGTAATAGAATGAATACATTTTAAAGGTGTAAATTAATATTTATACATCAAAGTTGTTTAGTATAATCTGTATTTAAACCGTGGTAACGTGTCTTAACTTAGAGGTCATTACAGCCTGTGAGTAGTGTTTGATCCCTTACCTCTAGAATTCTAACACGCCTGGTCTTTGTCCTGCAGCAGTCTCTGGTCCCAGCGCACCCCATGGCCCCTCCCAGTCCCAGCACCACCAGCAGTAATAACAACAGTAGCAGCAGTAGCAATTCAGGATGGGATCAACTAAGCAAAACCAACCTGTACATCCGAGGCCTGCCCCCAAACACCACTGACCAGGACCTGGTGAAGCTCTGCCAGCCGTAAGTACAAATGTTCTTGTTGCTGTAGCTGCAAAGCATTTCCTTGGTCATATTGTCAATGACATCAACTGTTTCTTAGGAAAAATTTCCAAGACATAATCTATGGCCCCTCAATATGGCAACTATAAGATAAGTTCTAAGTTTTAAGTGGTGGGACACTTCGCATTAATATCAGCTGAATGCCTATAAAACAAGAGTAATTGGAACATTTCCTCAATAGAATTTGATCTGATGAACAAATGATCCTTGTTTTAAGAGTGTTCATCTTTGATAGACGCCCCTCTGGAGGGTTAGTCAATTCTGTGAGTGAAAACTTGAGCTGTCATTGTTGGACTGACAGGTAGTTAAATAGTGTAATCTCATTTTTATTAACTTTTTTTTTATTATCCTTAAGTAGTTGTGCAGAGGTACAATGCATCTTGATCAATGTCATCCCCCAATTCTCCCTACCCCTTCAAATGGCCTATTTTCCAAAATATATACATTGAATATTATGACCGCATTTTTCCACCTTCAGTGTAAGCAATGATTTTAAATCCTGCTAGGAGAGTATTAGTCCATCATCATGAGCAACTGCAGTTTTGTTGTCTGGGTATTCACTCTTATCTCTGTGGAAGTAAGAACCCAGTTCTACTTTCTGCATCTTATGAAGAAAAGTATGCATGTGTATAAAGCTTCAAAGTAAATTTGCATTATATGCTAATGTTGTTGATGAATAGAATATAAATGTGCTACTTTGCTGCAATTACATTAACTGGCTAAGTAAGAAAGCACTAATTTACAAGAAGAAGTCAGAAGCACTGTAGAGTACAAAGATCATTGCAGAAAGACTAAACATGCATTGAATCACATTGAGCAATAAACACCTGCACAGATAAAATAATTTTTAATTAATTAATTATTGTAAAGGTGATGTGCAGAGGGATTACAGTTAAATAAGTCAGGTAATGAATACATTTCTTTTTGAACAGTGTCACCTCTCCCTTCATTTTCTCCCAGTTTTTTCCTTACCAACCCTTTCTCCTATAAGTTGTATAGTTCATTTTCAACATAGTGCTTAGTGAGTATCCCTGCTGCATTAGTTCACCCTTTGTCACACTGTACCAGTGTTCCTTCTTACTCTCCCCAAAACAGATAAACTTACATATAAGACAAAAGGTACAGAAATCAAAAACAGCAACAAAGGGTGGGGGGACGTAAACTAACAAAAACCTCACTTCATTTCTTGGAGTTCATTTTGATAAGCATCATTTTGTATGATCATATGCACATAGCTCTTGAGCCTTTGTGATCCCACCCTAAGAATATCCTCCTTTGGTCTCACTGTGTGAATATTTAGAGTCCTTTTTAAATTTCTCATGTCCAAGTCTATTTTTTTTGTCTTTCACCATCATTGTGTCTACTCGTAGATTTATATGCACATTCTAATTACTACAAATGAGAGAAACCATGAAACCTATGTTTCTTTGGGTCTGACTTAACAGCACTTTTTATTTATCCTAAGACAGTAATGGTCCTTTACTAAAGGAAATTTTGCATAATGGTACAAGACTTCTATTCTACTAGAGAATATTTCTCATTCTCTGAAGCCTGTCAAAACATCTTATTTGTAGTGTCTCATTTCTCTTGTGCTAGATTAAGTCCAAATCCATTACTTATTCTTTTGGTAAGGGGAAACTATTCAACATTGACAAGGGCAGTATTTCCAAACTGAGACTAAAAGCAACATCTGGCCTTCCATATGAGGTAGTGGTGGTTTTGCTTTATTTTATTTTGAGAGAGGAAAGGTTGGGCCATAGGTGGTGGTCTTTAGGATCTGGAGAGCTTTGAAAAGGCCATCATACTCAGACCCTTTCTTTTTTTGGGGGGGGGGGAGGTCCGGTCATGGGGCCTGAACTCTGGGCCTGGGCGCTGTCCCTCAGCTCTTCAGCTCAAGGCTAGCGCTCTACCACTTGAGCTACAGCACCACTTCTGGCTTTTTTCTTTTTGTTTATGTGGTGCTGAGGAATCAAATCCAGGGCCTCATGCATGCAAGGCAAGTGCTCTACCACTGAGCCACCTTCCCAGCCCTAAGACCTTTTCTTTTGCCTTCCAGTGGTTCCCTTTTTTTACCAGTCCTCTTGAACTTGACTTCTGCCCTTGGCTTCTACATATGTGAAATGCTCTGTACTGGGCTCTGCTTTGAAAGCAAGCCTAGCTTTTAGGGTTTGTCCTGCCTGGCCAGACGCAGCAGGAACCCTGCCAGGTGTGCCTGCCCAGTTGCTGCTGTTCAAGACCACAGATAGGCCTTTTTCTGTCTTGTCTGCTGCTGGCCTTTCATCAGCATCATCTTATGCTTTTGCAGCATAATTACAGGTAGATGTAGCGCCATGAAGTCTAAGAACCTAAAAATACAGCTTTGTAGAGAACAAAAGTAAGAAGCTAACTCTCAAATTGTCAAAGTATGTGTAGAAAGGGAGAGGATGATTCCAAAAGTCAGATTGTTCCTTGATTATGGAGTGCTGATATCAAGGAAACAGTAAAGAAAGCATAAAATAATAGAGTAATAGAATAATGTTCATGTATAGTAAATATGTATTTGAAAAATAGAGCCAGTGATTCTGGTGATAAGTCAAAACATATGCCAAACATAGTAGAAGAACATTTTATTTTTTTCCCTAGAATATTTATTCCTTTGTTGTTGTTTGTCTCTCTGATAGGTATGATTTTTTAACATGGGTAGCGATTACTCTGCTTGCATTACCAGTAGCAGAAATAAGCATTTGCCATCACCACTTTTCTTCTGTCATTTGCACAAAGAGGTTCTTGCAAAATCCAGGCTCAATATTAAACTCTGCTGATAATTTTCTTGATGGATATCTTACAAGGCAAGACGTAACAATAATTGGGGATGTTATCTCAAAATCAGCTGGAAGCTTCATACCACTTAGCACAGAAAATCTAATAAATTCCACATTTGACTTGCTGACAATTTCATGTCTTAAAATATAGAGAAAGCAAAACAAATGCATTCATGTCGACATTTAATTGTTTCCAATGAAGAATAGCCAGTCAGTGACATGGAAGTGACATAGAAGTGACAAGAAGCTTATGGGAAAGTGACTCATCCTAGAGCAAACAACCCAGTGGATATAATGAGAGATTTTAGAAAAATGAGTATCTGTAACTTCTCAGAAAAGCTAGGTGTAAATCCATACCTATAAAAAAGGAGAAAAATATTTTAAAACTGAAAATTTAATTACAAGTTGCCTGATGAAGCTGAGTTGGGAGAGGAAGCAAGAATTGAAAGAAATGAGCTCTTTCTGAGGGTTATCTAAAAGAGATGGAAAAAGACACTCAAAGTGTGTTTTAATAGCAGCCCAATTCCACACAAACAGCGCCTTGAGTTTAAAGGCATATATAGCCTGAAGACTTTAAAAAGTGGAGAGGAAAGCAGTATATACCTATATGTGTGTGTGAGTATGTATCAAACATATATAATGTATCTGTGTATGTATGTATTTATATATATTTACAGACATAAATGTATGTATATACCATATGTCTACATATGTGGGTGTGCATGTGGATATGTATGCATATTTCTTTATTTAAAACGTTATATTTGGAGTAGAGCATAAAGATGTTAGAATGTAAGAAGAAACGTTGGTGAAAAGCCAGATGTGGTCATAGAGTAAAAAAAATATCAGCCTTAAAATTTGATTCATAATACTGAAAGGTTTGACCACCATGCTTAAGAGGAAAGGCACCTAGTAGAGATCTTAGCAACCAGTTTAACATCCTGAGAAGACTGGCCATAAGCAGCACGTATGGTCACAGTGATGGTGCAAAGATCATGCGTATTGAAAATAGATCCTTTTTTTTTGAAGGGGGGAGCATTTCACAAAATGAGCCAACAAGCTCCAGTTAACTTCTAAATTGTGAAATGTGCATGGGAAATCTGGTGATCTCGTGACTCTCCCAGGCCATCGCAACCTAGTTCCTCATTTCACACTCTACTACTCTAATAGAGTATATTAGAACAAGTCCTCCACTCTAAAATTTCAGTATATTAGAGCAGGGTCCCAGCATGCTTAGGGGATGGACTGATCGGGGTAACAACAAGGAATAATCTGCTACACCTTGATCTTCAGATATTCTTACGTTTCCCTTTCCTGAAATCAAGCTAAACATATACTCTGTTGTTTTTTGTCATATAGACTTCTTAGTTGAACTTCTAGACAGATGAGTTAAGGGCTTTCATGGCTTTTGGTGTTTTTTGGTGTGTTTTTGTTTTGTTTTGTTTTTTGTCCTTTTGTTTTCAGGTTCTCAATCAAAGCTGTACCAAGGTCATAGAGAGCCATCATTTCCTCTAGCTTGTTTCCCTGTCGGCCTTTCATCCTCAACTCTTCGTAATCTCTATTCGCTCCACTAGTTACAGGATTCTCTACTCCTTCCAATGTTCTATACATTTTTCACTTAAATATTTTGGCCCCCAATTCAACATGGTCTCCTTCCTCTCGACTCACTTTTTCAGATTTACTCCACTCACTGCAGTTTGAAGTAGTCATTGACCACATGCCATTCTGCCTTAGTCACCATGTCTTCTTCATTCTTCCTTCTCATTGCTAGCAGCATTGGGTGTTTCTTTCCTTGCTCCCTAGGATGTGACAGAAAAGAACAATTTGCTCTGGTGGTCACTCACCTTAGCTCAGGCACCTCATTTCTCTTCTTTGATTCCATAAGGCCAAAGCCACATTCTCCCTGTTTCCTGAATGTTTAGGTCACACTAATACATCTGCTCCTTATGTTCTTGCCTATTGAGTATATCTGACTACCTCGTGATGTGCACTTTATTTCCATACTTTTCTCTCTCCCAGGTGTCTATTATTTTGCATAGCAGCAGGTCTGTGACACTATAGAATGCAAACAGCATATCATCTTCACAGACTTCTCTTCTAGCTTATAAAATTCACAGAATCAGAGTTTCTGGTTTTTGAAATCCCAATATTACCTTGCCC